ATAAAGTGATAAGAACTTGAACCAAGGTGGTGCCAGTAGGAGCAGGAAAGAAGCATGGCTGGAAAAGATGTATAAAAGAGGAAACAAGATCTGGTGAATAATTGGATAGGGGTCGTGAGGAAGAATAAGACAGTAAGGATGACTACAGAGATTAAGGGACGGAGGAAATCAGAAAAAGGAGCTGTTTGGGGGAAACTAGAGAAGTAGTATCTCTTGACCCTGGTGAGGCATGTAACGTAAATCCCCTCAGTGAGAGTAGACAGAGAGTATCAAGAGAATGCTCCCATTCAAGGCTAAATGGAGAAAGACAGCAATTGATGTATGTAGTTATTGTAATTTGTTGTGTTTACTTATCAAGATCTATGTATTATCATTTGCTATTTTTTTTAAAAAAACAAAGCTGTTCTTGCCCAGCCAGTGTGGCTCAGTAGTTGAGCATCAACCCATGAACCAGGAGGTAATGGTTTGATTCCAGGTCAAGACACATGCCCCGGTTGTGGGTTTAATCCCAGGAGGGGGCATTCAGGAGGCAGCTGATGGAGGCTTTACTCTCACATCCATGTTTCTCCCTCTCTCTCTAAAAATCAATTAAAATATTTCTTAAAACTATTCTATGGAATGACCAGTAAAGTGAGTGGCTAACTACCTAAACACCCATTTGTTTCTTGTAACTAAATGGCAGCATTTCAACATCTATCAAAGTGCAGCAAATATTTTATGACCCCCATATACAGGGCCTTATACAAAAGATGCAGCTAAAGTGAAATATTATTCAGTCAATACTTATCATTGCCTAGTTGTACAAAGGAAAACAAGTTGACAAATTTATGAAAATTTGCAAAAAGATTAATATTGCTTCTCCAGCATCTCGGGCAGCTCAATGATATTTACAAACCACTAGCCTCGGGAGAAGCAAACCAGCGTCAAGTAATTCTGTAGTGACATTTCAAACGGAATCAACCCTATAGAGTCTGCAGCATGTAGATTTTATAGAATTTATGAGTCTAAAAACCAGAAGGGCTTTTCATGATCATCAAACAAATAGTATTCTTTTACAGATGAGAAAACCAATGCTTAGAAAGTGACAACCCACGTTCATGCAGCCAGTTGGAGACAGAGCCAGTATTTGACTAATTCCAGTGATCTTCTACTAGACAGCAAAAGCACTAGACTCCTGCTGGAGTGTGTGCATGAATTCTCTATTTTATTTCATTGGCAATTTTGACTAAATAGTTCTCATTGATAGACAAGGGAATTGCTAAGGTTTTTCTCAGCTCTGTGCCCCTTAACAATGACATGATTCAAATCACATCCATTCTTTCTCCAGATTGTCTATGATCAGATCAACCGTGTCCCTCTCTCAGAAACATGCCTCAGTGATCATGCCTATGGTAAGCCATCGGTTCTTCCAACCTGTGAGATAGAAACAGTCATCCTGTCTGACAGTTATTTTTTTTTCTTTTTCTTTCTTTTCCCTTAGGTTCAATATGCCTGAAAAAGTAACTTCTAGAATAAGTCATTTCAACTTATAAAATACATGGAGCAAAATCTTTTCACTCAAAACACTTTTTGTCTATAAAAAACACACAAACACATTGCACCCAGATTCTCAAGATCCAGAATGCTGAGAAACAAAGCATGTTTCACCTGGAACATAGGAGTTGGGCCACTGGAGACTGGCTGTTGGGAATGGAGATAGGCTAAAGGTGAGGTTGTAAAGGTCTAAGAAAGACAAGAAAACATTGGATTACGTCTCTGATTACTTTTTTTTCATACTTGAAAAGCTCTGCGTACAATTTATAATGTTGAGTTTCTATCTTGCTAACCAGCATTTATTTTCACATACTATTATTTAATATCCTATGTAAGAAAAAGAAAATATTTTCCTGTATCAAGGTTACAATAATTTCTATAGGCTGAGTCCAAACTGTACAATATAACTGGGATATGCAAGAGATAGGAAAGATTTATGTCCCTTGGATCACAGCCATTTTCACAAGAGAAAGAATATGATTTTGTGTCTTCATTTCTACTTCTCCTCTGGAGGACTTTTGATCTAGAGGTCACAATAACATCTGTCCTCCTAACATTGCCTTAAAAGACAACAAGAGGAGCATCCATTATCTCCATAGAGACTACAGAACTGAGTGCTTAAAACCTGCAGACTCAGGGCTATTAATAACCCCACACCTTTTTGTTAATCTGGAAGGGGATAGGAACCTAACCATTCAAGCAGAGACAACTTAAGATCCAGATATTACTTGTAACAACAAGCACCAACAAATTTAATCCCTTAAATTTGCCATTGGTGCTTGACTGATATTAATTTAAATGTATGTTTTCAAATAAGTTAGCATTAAGTATAAACCATAATATAGTCAGAAAGTGGCTTCTTTCTTTCCAAGTGCATTTTGGAAACAAATTTGGCATGTATTTAAAATGTCCAAAATTTCTAGCTGCAAAGCAGAAAATTTTTCCTCAGGTGAGAAGGTGATTCCCATTTAAAATGATGGGATAAAAACAATGAATAAGAAGCAGATAGTATTGAAATTGGAAGATAATGTACAGGTGGCATAATGCTCCAGAGAACTCAAAGAAGGGTATGTGCACTGCATTAGCTGAGATGGTCAATAGAATGAAAATGCCTGGAGCATTGGGAAAAATATATTATGCCAAAAGTGTACTGATATTCAAAATCACAGATTTACCCTAAATCAACAAAGACATGCAGAACATTCCCTTCTAAGCTGGCCCTTAAATCCCCCTCCCCCCCCCACACACACAAATTTGTCTGCAAGAGGAATCACCACAATTGTCATCTGTTTTTAATGATTAATGGGTTCTGAAGCAAGTAGTTCTATGTATCACAAATAGGGTGGGGCAAAAGTAGGTTTACAGCTGTTCATATGGGAAATAATACAATAATTAATAAATAATAATGCAAGAATAAAATGTTTTGCACACTCTATAAATGTAACACTATTTTTGCCCCACCCGGTATTTCCTTGCTTCATGTTTAAAGACTAGCAACCATAGAAAGGTGTTAGATGGCCTAGAAAAAAAAAAAGTTTACTTTGTTAATAATAAGCACATGGAAAGTGAATTATTTTGGCTATCTAACATGTTTACTTCATAGTTCACCCAGGCATAGATTTGTCTAAACACATGGTGATGATGATTTCTGGAAGAAAATTTCAAATTTTGATGATGGAAGTCTAACAACAAATAATCAAATGCTAGAAAAGAAACCCACCCATACCTGCTTATCGACCTTCAAGTCCAAGTCCACATTTCTATTGAAATTACTCTCAACAGAATTCCACTGTGGTTTGAAAAGGCAACTTTGTGTCTGAGTGTTTCAGATATTCTCTAAAAGAATCTTAGCCCAGTTTATTTATTAGTTTGAAAGCAATCATTTAATGGATTCCGTAAAAGTACTGTTGTATCATTGCTATAGTGTCTCATCTACAGATATTAAAGCCCTCCTCATACGTCAACAGAGAAGACAAATATACAATGTTTCCCACACCCTACTAATGAATGTAAACTCGACTCTGTTCATCTTTCAAACACTTTTCTGGCCCAAAAACTGCTAGCAGTTACTTATAACAATTGTGATATTGTTGTTGTTATAGCAATGTATAGTAAACCACTGATTTCCTGATGGCCCAATTCAGTGCTCCAGATAGCTACCACTTGGCAAAAATAAGGTTTTCCTTTTAAAAGAGCAAGGTGGTGATTTACTTTACAGTGTGCACAAATTATAATTACATCTTATTTGCCTCTATTGCATCTTGGGCTTTTAAATCATAAGCAAGTGGGTCCAACAATATTTAAAACTCAGGGTCCTAGAGTTTTGGCATCAACTATTTGTATTAGTGAAACACTTAAGATATCTATAAAATATTTTGACACATATAAAAATGTAGCAAACTTTCCCTCCTCTTATTTCTCCCCTCCTGTAAAGCTCATTTAATTTCAATACATATGTGTTTAATTTATTACCAATTTTACCCACTTTATGAAAATAATGTATTGAAGTGTAAAAAATAGCATTATTTTAAAAGTACTACATTTATTATTAATTCAAAAATGAGACAAACTTATCTCCTTGGCTTTTTAAAGAAATGCAGAGTATTTCTAAAAATTCATTTCTATGTGTTATCCACCCACCTCTTTCCTTTTTCTCTTTAAAAGCCTCAGAAGGAAAATTGACTTTAAGCTTTGTCATCTCAGCCTAGGTCCTAAAGGCAGCCAACATCACTATTGTTGCCATATCTTTCTCTTTATTATACAAGTATATCGATGATGTAATTGCAGAAGTTAGGGTTCATTCAAGCTGTTGGAGCAAAGGGATTTTTTTTTTTTAGACTGCCTCCTTCGGCACCACAGAACAACTGTAAAACCGAGCCAAGTTCCCAATTTAAGCAATTCATCTCTTGAAAGCAAATCTGCAGGATCTTCATCTTAAAGGACTGATCAAGGGGTCAAAATGCAGAACCTCTGGAAAAGCTCAATTTGCTCCAGACTCAATGCTGAGCTGGAAAAACACTTGGGTGATACACAGCTAGTCTATGGCATCTTGGCTTTTAACCCCTTCTGAAAAGCCCTGAACTTTTCTTTGTCTGTTTGGCTCTAATTTCCCCCCCAAATCCCAAGAGATTGGGAAATATCCCAGCCTTTTATCTCATTCCTGTTTTCCCTGAAACAGACATTCCCCTGAAAGTTGAGCGGAAACTAAGCAATCATGTATTACTCTGCATTCAAAATAAAGCAATGACTGAGAAGTCCGTGATCCTTAATAGAACCATCCTTATTATAAACACAGGGCAACTAAGCATTTACAAATGCCTCAGCTACATTCGTAGAACCCCGGGGTCTATGGTGTGATTCAAAGTGCTACCAAAAAGAAGAAGAAGAAATCAGCAAGAAAAGGCAAACACACACACACACAAATCACATGCAGATAAGGCAGCGCATATCGGGGAAAGAGAACATACCTGAGGGATTCGCCTTTAAAAAAAGTGTACACACCAGCTAGGCGGTTCCTCCCCTCCTTTTGGAGTATATGTGTTTTCCTTTCAGGAATACCACTTGCGATTCGTGTTTCTAGTCTCCTTGCCTTTATTCGGCCCCAAGGAGTTAGAGCAGGAGCAGAGGCTGCGACCCAGCGATCGGACTCAAGTGCAATCAGGCATGCCTTTGGTCTGCAACGGTGTCTGTTCTTTTCAGCGCTATCGTGCTCCCCCGGGCAGCCTCCAAAGCAATTTTACAACTTAGCTGCTGGCACGAAACTGCCTTTCCCTCTCCTCATTGCCAAATTCCTCCGGCAGCTCATTGCTCATCCCTATCTCTAAGAAAGCAAAAATCAGCTGCTTTGTTGACGAGCGCCAAGGCTCAGCAACAATTGAGGGTGCGGAGCAGCGCGGCTGAGTGCGTGCGGGGAAGTTCCCAGAGCGCGGGCCGCGGCCAATGCTTTGGGGAATGCAGCACCGACGCTGCGATCGCCCGCCTCCTCTGCCCAGAGCTCCCGGGCTCCCTCTGCTGCCGCCGCCGCGGCTGCTGCACAGAGCAGCTCTCCAGGCGGAGACACAGCCCTGGCTCAGGAAGATGCGCTGCGGCCGCTGCCAGGTGTGGCCGTCACCACCGCACTGACAACTAACTGTTCAGGGCGTAACCTCATCACTGGGGAAAACGCCCCGGAGGCTGGAGCTTTCTCGGCCTAATTTTCCCTTTATCGCTGAGTGATGACCCCGAGGAGACAATCTTACGGCCCATTCTGCTGGCCGCGTTTGCAGCCTCTTTGATAACATGGGTAATTTAATAATGACTTGTCTAGGTGTAGCTGGTTGTGCTTCAGATCATGAAAAGCACACTGCACACGGTATAATTCCCAATTAGCCACGGAGAGGCAGCTAACAGGACCCGTGTTTCCACAGAGGAGATGCTGATATTTCATCCTAGGTGGCTTTCTTCTTTTTAATGTGCGGAAAGCCATTTGAAGGTGATTCCTCAAATATCCGAATTAAAGACACACACACACACACACACACACACAATCAAAGTGGGAAGAAATAGTGGAAAACTTATAGTGATGCAAAGCTTTTGCTTCTCACTTGGAAATAATGTCTACTACCCATTTGATGTTAGCGCGTTAAAGAGCTGGCTAGGAATTGAATGGGCTTGCTTTCTTTTTTAGTTTTGCTGAGTAGAGGAGGTGAGGGGACTAGCAGCTTCCACTTTCCATCAATAAAGCTTTTTTTTTTTTTTTATCCTCTTACCCTCCTGTTGAAACAAGCAAAACAAGTACTGGATCTTAAAATAGAGCCTTTGCGAAGCTCAAGTCCTGAGATGATGTGTAGGTTGTTAGATGCATCTGGTCTGCTGGCTTACTTCAATTCACTTGTCTTTGCTTTTAATAGGATCTGTTTAGGACTGAGGAGCAGTCAACTATCAGCTGAGACCAAACAGGACAAGAAGCATACACATAGATTTGTATGGCATTTTCCTGTACATTAAAGGATGAACAAGAATTTAGAATTGACTCTACTTTACCCAAATACTTAATATATAACAGCTGCCAGCAAAATGAACCATTGAGCCTGATAGAACATCTTTGGCAAAACACATTCCACCGACTATCTATGTGGCAGGTGCTGGTACTGAGGCTTCTTGTTCTCGGCTCTCAGCCCCACCTTTAGCTCCTAACAGCACAGCTTCCTCAACCTGCTGCTTAAGTGACTGTTAATGGACTTGAGCAGCTGCTCAAGGTCTAATGAGCTTCATCAGCAGGCAAACACGCAGCAGAGTGATCACCACATTCAGCAGCCACCAGAGTGGCAGGTAGGACAAAGCGCTGCCGCCCCTGGCTGTAAGCACGGAACAGTAGCAAAGGAAAACTGGTTAGACCTCAGAGTAGATGATGATCTGGCAAAACCTGGCTAGCCGACACACTGTTTTGAATTCTCTTCAACACACAGAGGAAAAAACACCCATTCAGAGGTTTTTTGTTTTTGTTTTTGTGGGGTTTTTTTGGTGAGCAATACCCAGAAAAAAAGATATGCTCAGCTAAGAATCCCCAGCACCCCGAATAGTGTAATGTATACAAGTTCTCACAAAACTGAGATATAATGTCATTGGTTTAAATAAGCGGTTCTCAACCTGTGGGTCGAGACCCCTTTGGTGGTCGAACGACCCTTTCACAGGGGTCACCTAAGACCATCCTGCATATCAGATATTTACATTACGATTCATAACAGTAGCAACATTACAGTTATGAAGTAGCAACAGAAATAATTTTATGGTTGGGTCACAACATGAGGAACTGTATTTAAAGGGCCAGAAGGTTGAGAACCACTGGTTTAAATGTTTAAACCAGGGGTGGGCAAACTTTTTGACTTGAGGGCCACAATGGGTTCTTAAACTGGACCGGAGGACCGGAACAAAAGCATGGATGGAGTGTTTGTGTGAACTAATATAAATTCAAAGTAAACATCATTACATAAAAGGGTACGGTCTTTTTTTTTTTTTTTTAGTTTTATTCATTTCAAACGGGCCGGATCCGGCCCGAGGGCCGTAGTTTGCCCACGGCTGGTTTAAACCTATAGAAGGAAATACAAGTAAGATAATCCTAACCTTGAGCAGTCTCCAGGATGTGTATATGATGTAATGAAAAGAGGTATGAAAATATTGCTCTAAATCAAATACTCTCACAGGAAAAGTAACAACAGGGATGGTGGTCACCAGTCTTTGCTTTTTAAGAAGAAATGTTTCATGAATGCTCCAAAGCAGTGTGTACTGGTAGATTCACTGCCCAGTTCTAATTATCAATATTCTGGTTGTATATTTCAAAATGGAAATATTTTACACCTCTGAAAGGGGCAGGACTCATGTATCTGAGGGACACCAGCTGCTAATAAGTTATGTCACTGCTGGAGAGAGTGACAGAGCTTTATGACTTGATTGATGTGCAGGGACACCAAATTCCCTAACAGAACTTTCTTGTCTCTAGATGGGTAGTTTTCACCTGCTGAGCACCTGATATGATATGATATAGCATTCAGAGTACTACACATTCTTATCAATAAATCACATTCTATTTCTGCAAAGAGCTTTTCAAATAATTGGATTAATAACAGTAACAACATTGGATAGGAAATTAATACACAGATATGCTCACAGCACACAGGTGCATGCCCCAAACTTATAGAATGATTGATTCAGAAATATGATCATTTCTCCTCTACATCTTTCAGCAGCGATTTTAGGAGAAATAAAAGCTCTAGGGTACCATTCACCTCCCATACCCCAAGACATACATTGGGGCCGATCATTTGTTTCATTTATGGTTCAGGTGGGAGAAAACCAAAGTGTCTGGGTCATTGGTCATTTTTTATTGGTAGGAAAGCTTGACTAAAGCAAACGGATCAAGTAAAGGGGTCATTCTTAAATAATTCTATTACTGCCTGTGCACTTGGCTTTAAGCAATAGAGGAATTCTTGAAAAAGCATAAATCAACCTCGTGTACACTGAATTGTATTTTCCGCATTCTAGAAGACCTCATTCTTTATTTCAGGGAATGGGTAACCAATCATTAGACCTCACTATTTTTCAAAAATTGTGACCAGAATTGGCTCTCTGCATTAATTCAAATGAATTGGTGAAATGGATTTATTTTCAAGATAATTGAGGACAACAACACGATTACATCCAAAATAGGAAGTTGGTGTGTCTAGCTCTGTGTAATTGAATAATGTATAAGAGAACAAATAGTTGGGAATAAAGCATCCAATGCAATTTGGAAAGATTCACAAAATGTTGATTTCGTGATAGTAAAGAATGCACTGATTTCTGTTCTTAAATTAAGGCTTTCCATTCAATTAGGGTTACTTAAAACCCGTGTTAACTTTGGAGACTAGATTGTACAAGGCACTGCAGCTTTCTCTTTGCCCACTCTCCCTTGGTTTGCTTACTCTGGGGAAAGTTAGCTGCCATGACCTGAGAACATTCAAGCAGTCTAAGAGGAAGCCCGCAGGGCAACGAACTAAAGTCTCCTGCCAACAGCCAGATAGGAACTGAGACTCTATGCCAGCAGTCATGTGCATGAGCGATTTTGGAAGTGGAACTTCTATCCACATTCAAGCTTTGAGTTGATTGCAGCCCCTATTGACCACTGTATGAACCCCCCTGAGCTGTTCCCAAATTTATAACCCACAGAAACTGTGAGGTAATAAATGTCCATTGTTTAAGTAATAAATCAATCAATCAATAAATAAAAATCCAAAGAAGAGTTCTGGCCTGTGTGGCTTATTTGGTT